CTGTTTTTGATTTCAATGAAAGGTGTTGCAATGGTTACTAAAAATAGAAATTTCTGTGAAATTCCTTTAAAACGCTACTCCTCCTCCAGTTTTGGTCTGATTTCAATATAACTTGGTACACAAATAGAATACACTATGATACATGATTTATTATTATACATGTTAAATACTAAAATCTGATTGGTATAGACGCATTTAACAATCCGTAATGTTACCCTCAGCGTTAGCAACACGCTTGGCAACGGGTAACATTACGAAAATGTCACATGCGTTCAAATCATGCGCGTACGGTTCACCGTAGAATTCTCAAAACGTCAGTTGTGCGCTTGAAAGAAGCCGAATAAACGACGTCAATTAAAGCTTGCGTCCGAAGTAGCTTACTTGAAAACAACAAACGAAAGACGAAACAACCTTGCGAGTGCAAACTTTAGATGATGAAGGACTTTTTGAGTAGCAAACAAACAATAAAGAGGTTGGTAAATCTTTTCCGAAGCTTTCTTATTGAGAAAAATAGAAGCGGAGAGTTTGAAAGCTTTCTAAGCGTGAACTTAACGACGATCTCCAATTTTTTTTATGACATCCGAAATCAATAAGACATTCAGTATAATAAAATAAATAGTGCACGTTTTTGAGGGTAACAGTTGAAATTGACACCCCTCGGAAAACCATTGTCAACCTCCGCTGACGCGTCGGTTGACAACGGTTTTCCTTGGGGTGTCAATTTCAACTGTTACCCTCAAAAACGTGCACTATTTATATAATGCATCTGATTTTGATTTCAATGAACGGTGTTGCCATGGTCAATAAAATTAGAAATCTCTGTGAAATTCCTTTAAAATGCTACTCCTACAGTTTTGGTCTGATTTCAATATAACTTGGTACAAAAGTAGACTACACTAAGATGCATAATTTAATACATTGGTTTTTGATTTCGATGAACGGTGTTGCCATGGTTATTTAAAATAGAAATTTCCGCAAAATTACTTCAAAACGCTACTGCTGCTATAGTTTTGGTCTGATTTCAACATAATTTGGCATACAAGTAGATACTAGTATCTAAGATAAGATACACTAAGATATATAATAAAGTGCATCGGTTTTTGATTTTGATTAACTGTGCTGCTATAGTTACTAAGGATAGAAATTTCTGAAATTATTTTAAAAAGCTACTCCTGCTACAGTTTTGATCTGATTTCAATACAACTTAGCATACAAGTAGATCATACTATAATTACATAATTAAGTGCATCGGTATTTGATTATGATGAACGTTTTTTTTAAATTATTTTAATATAACTTTGCATACAAGTAGACTACACTAAGATGCATACTTTGATGAACTAGTTTTTGATTTTGTTGAATGGTTTTGCCCTGGTTTCTAAAAATAGAAATTTCTGTAAAATTTCTTTTAAACATATCACCTGCTACAGTTTTGGTCTGATTTCAATCTAATTTGGCACACAATTGGAGTACACTATAGTGTATATCGGTTTTTGATTTCAGTGAATGGTGTTGCCATGGTTACTAAAAATAGAAATTTCTGTGAAATACTTTCAAAATGCTACTCCTCTTTCAGTTTTCGTTTGATTTCAATATAACTTGGCACACAAATAGACTACATTAAGATACCTAATTCTGTTTATTGTTGCATGTTGCAAAGTTTCATATCCAAGTGCTACTTTTCCTTGTAGAGCTACAGTACTAGTCTCATCATAGACTTCTGGTTATATTATGTGTGCGTGATTGTTCACCATTAGAGAAAAATATTAGAATTCTGAAGAAAAAAAAATTGAGTTAAGAACTTTTTCCTCTGAGAGTTCTTTTATGGTCACAAAGCCAGGGCTCCTGTGATTGATTGTTGTAGTTTTACGTGCATTGCAATATCATTTTGTAAATTTTGAATATACTTGGTGGAGGCAAATACAAAATTTACTGTCATCTGGTTGTAAAGTTTGTATTTACCTCCAAATAGTAAATTAAAAAACAACATGATAGCAAAATTCTTTCATTCATGAGTCGTCACCGGATGATGGTAAAGGGCTTCAAATTTAGACCTTTACTCGGCACTCAAGGCCATTGATCTGAGGAGTAAGAGATCTATTTATCGTGCCAAAGCCTTTCTTAGTTTTTATTTTAAAGACCTGGGGCCCGTTTCACAAAGCTAACTTAGGACTAAGTTATATCTTAGGAAAGAACTTTTTCCTAAGTTCATTACTTATCCGTTGTACTAACCTCGTCTTATCTTAGGATATTCCTAAGTTATGTCGTAACTTTAAGACAAGTATACTGTAAATCAATGACTTAGGAAGAAACTAAATATGACGACTGTAGATACATGTACAAGAATTCTTAAAGAGAGATACTGTGTGTGTTTAGGGAGAGAAAAAATCCAAAGGACTACTAGTATATGAATGATTGTGATCCCTTCAGGCTATAACTGCTTTACTTTGTATGTAATAGCTAAGAAAAGGATTTTAAGAATTGTCGGAGATGTATCTGCATCACTGGTCAAAATTAATGGTGAAGTTGGGACTACAAATACATTGTACTTAAAGAATGTTTGATTTCTTACGAATTCGTGGATTTCCCAATGTTACTACAAAATGGACGGTGCACATGTTGGATTAATTCCCCTTTATTTAAAGAGCACGATTTTGTATACAAAAAAATTCCACGCTATAAACACTATTGTCTGTGTTACAAAACTTTGCATATAATTTGAACCATTATTATATATTTTTAAATCTAATAATATTACTAGTATTTGAATCGATATTTAGTATTTGAAAGATTATAGTTTGATAAGGGAACAAATTTGTTCTCTTCAGCTCCTGATATAGCTGTCTCTCCAAAACTAACGTGGAGCACCCATTCGCGAAGAAATAAAAAGAAAATAAGGCCTCTGTTAGATTGCTTGCCCTTCGAAGCAATTATTGTTTTAAATTTATAATAATTCCATTTCCTAATTGAAACGATACTAGTAGAAAAATATATAGGGGGGGGGGGGAATAAACCATTGCAAACCTCCGATACCTTATAGAGAGCAAAATAAAAGGCAAACATATAAAAGAACAAATTTAGTTTAATTTTTCAATTTAATAATTTAAAAAGTAGTTTAAAGAAATACACGTCTTGTGACTGGGGGGGGGGGGGGGTATGTGTGTGTGTGAGGATGTGTGAGTGCTTAGTTTAAGTAGGAAACTTGTCAAGGTTAAACCATACTTCTGTCCAAGTCCTTTGAAAGTGAAGGGTAACCCCTTACCTCCCGACCCTCCCCTTTTCAAGCTTTTTTTTTTACTTGAAAAAACCCGATTCAAACTAAAAAAATTTACTCATACTGACATCCTCTTAACAGTAAGAATTGTAGATAGAGTGGAGAAGTTATTTCATTAGTCCGTAACACGACTTAAGATATGTCTAAGGATAATTGTAAGATTGTTTCATGAAACAGCTGTGACAAATCTTAGGAACTTCCTAAGTTATAACTTAGGCATATCTTAAGTTATATCTTACGACATATCTTAGGAAACCTTTGTGAAACAGGCCCCTGCACTCTTTACCAATATCTACAATAATTCTGAAATACAGATAGATTTTTATGGTTGCAATACTTCATTTAAACGTTGGTAACTTTTTTTGCTTGTCAAGGAATTTTTGTTTGATTATACCCCCGACCCCATTTTTTGTTGAATGTTAAGGTGTCCCGAGTCACTCAGGTGATCTATTGCTACTCTGTCGTTGTCCGGCGGTTGTTAACTTTTGAACATTTCCAGCTTCTTCTGCTGAACCACTTAACCAAATCAACCAATTATGTAAAGCATCAATGAGTGAAGGGGTACAAAATTTGTGAATTTCATTGTCCCTGCCCCCTAGGGCCTGAGGGGTGGGGCTAAAACCATCAAAATTAGAGCTATCTTTAGAAATCTTCTTTACTCTGGACATCAAGCAGTCAAACTGTTGGCATTATTTTAATGAGCATTGAGCCTTCAACCAAAAGAGTGAAATTCATGGCACCAGGGTCAGGGTTTTTTGAGTTAGGGTGGGCTCTAATGATCATATAGTAAAAATGCATTAATTCTTTAAGAATTTTCTTCTCTCCCCGTGTATATAAAGCAGATAAACTAGCTGTATGATTATGATGACCAAGGATGCCTTTCTCATAATTGTGAAATTTGTGGCCCCAGCATGAGAGGGTTCTGCTGGAAAAGGGGGGGGGGGTATTGATTATATAGTGAAACTTCATATTTCTTTGAAAATCTTCTCTGCTCCTTGGTATTTAGCTGATAAAACATGTTTATAGTTATGATAAGGAAGAGTGCCTCTTTCAAAATTGAGTATATCTTGGCCCCAAGGTCAGGGGTTCTGGTGTTACATGTAGACGGAGCTCTATTGTTTAAACAGTGAAAATACATAAATTCTTAAAAAAGCTTCTTCTCTACCCCTAGATGTTTAGCAATTAAACTAGGTGCATGGTTATAATGAATTTAATAGGTTATGTTGAGCAAGGGCACCTTTTCCAAAATTGTGAATATCTTGGTCCTACGGTCAGAAGTTCTGGTGTTAAGGCGGGGCTGTATTGATTATACAGTGAAAATGCATAAATTCTTTAAAAATCTTCTTCTTTCCCCCTGTATATAAAGCAGATAAATTTGATGAATGGTTATGATAGTCAAGTTTGTTGTTTAACGTCAATATGGAGACGCCACCACTTGCAGGTGGAGAGCTGCAAATTTTGACCTTTGCTTGGCATCAGGGCCATTGAGCAGTGAGGGATCTTTCTCCTGCCAGCACTTACTGCGACAGGGGACCTCGGTTTATACGGTCTCATCCGAAAGACCGGTCTCCACGTCCCGCGGTGTATTCATACCCGCGACGTAAGGATCAGCTCCTTACTTAGCGACTCTAGAGCAGAGGCTCTAACCAGTGCGCCATGCGGGCGACTAGTAATTTCTCTGTTTATTGTCAAACATATTACCTATAACTCTTCATCTGGATTGCAGATCAGGCTTATGTGCAATCAGTTTGGAATTGACAGATCACTGGAAAAAGACTTCCAAGCGGTTAGAATGTACATCATCAACAACATGACAAATTCCTACCTTATTCTCTTCATTCAAGTTTTGTTCCATCCCAAAGTGATAGACAAATTCCGAGCATGCTGTTGTGCGCATGCGTCTAAAGAGAATGACACTACAGTTGCAGAAATGCAGACATCTGAAGTCGTCGTGCCACCATAGCCAATAATTAGAAATTTAAATTTTTTTAGACTATAGTCTGTACCATGATACCAATGCCATCACCTTTTAAATGATATCTCAAAATACATTAACACATGGGCTTTCAAACTAGGTTATACAAAGAAATTTTAAGTAAATGCTCGGACTCAAATATGTCACACTCGATTATCGGATAATCTCTGTCGAAAAAAAAGTTACCCATTAAAGCAATTGTCGAATCTCACAATTCTGTATACATTGAAACATCGTGTCATTCTGATTCTACAGAAATAAACTAGTATGTATCAAACCTTGGTAAGGAATGGTTTGGAAATTATGAAACTGTCATTTTTAAAGATATTCTCTTTGAAAACATGGCTATGATACTGCCGACTCTGCATTAAGCAATACATATATTATTTAGAATGTGATGGAAATGTGGAACAGACATGTGCGATCTCATAGCAAATATGTATTTTACATTTGACACGTTTGAATTAATTCCAATGTAAAAGTATTTTCATAACCTTAATTGTTTTCCATTCCACACAGTTGCGTTTTTTTTCCGGTTATGCAATGATGTACATTTGAATCTTTAACAGTTCTATATTGTGTCTAGAATCATATAAAGGAAGTTTAGCTCCCTGTATTTGTCCAAGCAGAAGATTTTCTATATATTATTAACAATTTAAATATTTGTATTGTGAATTAGAAGTTTATTAGTCGATTGTCTGAACAAGTCTATTGCGTCATGTTCACATGGGTTGTAGCTGTATATATATATGCTTTGGGATTAAATGGTATTTAAAAGTTTTAATTTATCAATTTCTGGGTTATGTTAAATGAGGGTACCTAACATCGGCTTCTTGTAATTGGATGTATGTTACATCTGTTTTCATCCTGATTAATTTTTTTTTGATTTTAGTTGCTACCCCTTCTGCACGAATAACTGTCTAAATGCCACCTGGTATGCTATGAATTCTGTCTTTCACGACTTTTAGCCATAAGATTGTCATGTTTTACCAACGTCTTATTGCATAAATTTTAAAATTAATGCAGCATTTAAAATTGAGTTTCGATTGGTATTATTAACTGGCAGTTTAGTGTAGAAAATGCATTGCGTTTTTGAATCTCTTCGAATCCGCTAATTAGAAGATACTGAAAGATGTTAGAACCTTGCGTGCTTGTTCAGAGTCTCCCAGAAAATGATTTGTGAGTGTATTATAAAGCAGGATGCTACAATTCAAGCACAAGAGAAGTAGACGAAATAAAGTGTTCACACTTCTGTTGCCCTGAACAGTCCAAATTACCCCCCCCCCCCAAAAAATATCGGGGGTCAAAATCACAAGACTGGATCTCGCTCAAAACAAGCCAACAACTTTGAACTTAATAATACTCGGAAGGAACTCTAAAAAGAACGATAAAAACGAAATTAAACAGTTCTGTGAAAACTTGCTGGAACTCCAATATTTTGTTGGGTCAGATTTTTGTGGTTTGAGGAAAAAATTATAGTTCGATGTAAATCTTGGAATGTCCGTTCTCAAACCACTCAGTGCAGTAACTTGACTCAGCCATATCCTAACTAAAAGGAAACCAAGAGAAAGTTTAAAATGGTTTTAAAAAATCTGGGAGTTTAGACGCTCTGAAACTCGCATTTAAATTTTAATGATCGCAAATAAATTTGCAACCATACTTGACCATTTCATCAAAATGTGTCATGTGAACGAATGTTTTAAATTGTGTTTTAATTTAATATTGACTAGACGTTTTATCTCTTCTTATACACGGTAGAGAATGTTTTTATCTGAAGGTTAGCTAAAGCTGCCTCATCTACAAGATCTAAAATATTTGTTGAACAAAATCAGACATTAAATGTCTGTGTGTGTGTGTGAGAGAGAGAGAGAGTATTTCCCAGTTTTGAAAAGGCAGTAAATATAGCTGTTTTCCTGACTGGCATCACTGGCAGGGATTTTGTCAACTCCAGGAAAATACATGTACCATATTAGTTTAGCAACTCTTCCACTTACATCAAATTCAGGAAGATCCCATCTTCTGATGCATTTCTATGAGGGTCCCTAGCTAAGCTTACTGTTTCACACAAATCCATTGTAGCCAGCAGGACTTGGCTATAAATATCAAATATTTCTTGAAGTCCGGTACATGGTTAAATGCATGTTCCTTCAACATTTTTTACAGACCTGCATGTATGCCTAAGTACATCTTAAGATGGTTATAACAAGTTCCTTTCTCAGAATCACTGAATCTATGAAAATACGTGTCAATAACATTCTGTTAATGCAATGTCTTCACTGGCGCCAACCTTCTTTTGGATTCCACGTCCTTGCTGCATAAGGTTCACGCGTGTTGGTTATGAGAATGTCAGGTGCGTCATTGTAACAAGAGGTCAGAAGTGTTAATGACGAGAAATATATATTGGATATAATATCATATACAAATCATAGCCGTACAGAAATTATTTTATCACTAAGCACTTTTTATTTTCTATAATATGCTATATTTATCATTTCAATAGTATATTGCCTCTAAAAAAAGTCCGACCTTGCTCTTTACCACTTAATTTGTTGGTCCAAACACTAATGGAATTAGACATATCAGGGTGACACGGATGTCACCTGTGACATTCAAGTTTTATATATAGGAATGTCTAAGAGTATGAAAATGAATGGACATAGCACAAAAATGAAATATCTTATTACTGCGGAATTTAAGCTGCCTGAACCTGCTGATCACTTACAAGCAGAGTAATGCAAAAGTTATATAAATCAAGCAAACAAATAAATACAAAATTTACAAAACAGTGAATAATTTGAAGGTACTCCTTATTATGATAAAGAATCGATAATTATTTACCATTTTATACAGGTGATCTTGTGAGATAATTGATCATTACATATTCAAAAAATAATAGAAAACAGGAATTATCTCAGTTTCATCAAATTGCATTTGATGTAGTGTATGTTGACTTGTTTGCTGCATAAAAACACACTCATTTGGGTAAAAGGATTATAAAAATAAATAGCATTGTACCCAGTAGAATATAAAAGCTAATAATAAATAAATGGACTGATGTTGGTGGCTTGAAAAACATACTGACTGAATACAGCATCTCCATACCTTGCTGCCAGTTGAATGATGTCAGCTGGTAATCCTGAAAAAGTGTGTGTACATGTAATACTATAACAGAGAATTTTTACGAAAGTATAATGCGATCTTATCCACACATCTAGATCAAAACAGACCCTGATGTTCCGGTATCGGTGGTATGGTTTCCATGTAACTGTCTGAAATACTACTGGTAGTAGAAAGCACACCACTTCTGTATTGTATGTCACCCCTTCTCTTGTCTCTAATGAGGATGCTGCAGCAGATGCTTCAGTTCAACTCTCCTTCCCTTGAATTCCTTGGTACAATACTTCTCGGCCAGCGTATTCTACCATGAAAGTCCCAGGCGACAAATTCAACTCATCATTTATATAAAACATATCAGGAAAAATATTTTTTTTCGAATTAAATAAAATTTTATACTTATATATATATATATATATATATATATATATATATATATATATATATATATATATATATATATATTCTCTGATCCAGAGTAGAAATTGTTCTTTGGATTTTTTCTTGCAACAATTACTATCACGGTAACTCAGGCGGTAGAGCGCTCGTTCCGTGATCGGAAGGTCGTGTGTTCGAATCACAGCCGCAACTGACCAAAGTCGATTCATTGATTGATTATTATTGTATAGTATTTGACCATTTTTGAAGTTTGTGGTTTCTCTGGCGGCTCCTTCTGGAGTCTTTCTTCCTTTTCAAAAACCAGAAAAACGATCTTTTACGTGCCAATCTAAAGGGGGTTGCTATCCTTGACACGGGGTACCATTTAACTCCCATCCGACGGACTCAAAATTTAAAAATATGTTACATGTAACATAAAAATTAGATTGATTCATTTGTATGCTGTTTACGTTTTTTTTCACTCATATAGAGACATCACCATATACAGGTGAAGGGCTTTAAATTTCAACCTTTACTCGCGATGGCACTCAGGGCCATTGAGCAGTGAGGGATCTTTATCGTGCCAACGCCTGCCGTGACACAGAGCCTCGGTTTTTAAGGTCTCATCCGAAGGACCCCTCCACTATCGACGTGCCGAACGCTTGGCGAAGGAACAGTTGCTACCTATTTTTTTTTTTATCGATCTAGGCCAGTCTCGGCCGAGATTCGAACTCGCGACCTTCAGATCGTTAAAATTTAGACAAAATTGCTTAATTATAGTATTCTAAATTTTACAGTAAAAATCAGTTTCATGTAAAATTTCTCAACTTGTGTAATCATTTATATTTGTAAAAAGTTCATGCATCGTTCGTACATTATTAAATAGTCTAATTTGAGTAGGAGAAAATTCGGTACATTCCAAAATGATATAATTGATTTAAAAAAAATAGATGAGGAAGGCTGCCATGCAGCTAAGTATGATTTTTTATTACCTCTTCACGGGACACATGACGAAAGCCAAGATTCTGTGGAACTATCAAAACTTGACACATAGCCTTAATTGCTCACCTTAGATTTGATTTGTCGCATTGAATAAGGTTGCCAGAAATCTGTTGGAGAGTCCAGAGTTTCACTTGCACAGAAAAATAGCCAAAGTTGTTCTGACACTTCTGGATGGAGTGATTTGATATGTTAATGTATGATATATAAATCCTGAAAGTTTCCTTTGATCAAGCCAGTCAAAGAAGTGTAATCCTCATTAGTAAGGCTTTCAGTGTTGTTAAAATCAAGTCGGTAGTTTTTGTTCATTTGGCAAAGATGACGCATTTTGGAAAGGAGATTTAGCACAGAATGTTTGTTCAGAAATGCATGATCTGTTGTCTTTAGATTTTGAAGGGAGTCCGGGGCAAAGACGCCATCTTTCAAATGATTTGGACAACATCTGTTACCTTCGACAATTAACATGTACATGTATTGTGTTGAACAAAAACAGAGAGCCGGCATTCTGAAGACACAACTAACTTGGGTCCTGGTCTTTTACAAATGAAACAGTCCGGATGGCTCTTTACAGTTGATGCAATTGGTAAGGAGATAGATGGAGGACTTTTTGGAGTTGGGCGTACTGGTGCCTGTATTTGAAATCCATCATCACTCTCAGGAAGCTGGGTGGTCGTGGACTGTTGATAAGAGCGTTCCTTTCTGTTTTATGTCTGCATCTGTTGCAGATGATGGAATCGTCAGCTGCAGAAATTTGGAATTTCTTCTGTAAATACTTGCAGACATCCTTATTGATCTTTTTTTTTTCTGTCTCTTAGTCTCACTCTTTTGATACAGCATATGCTGTTAAAATTGTTCCTTCAGTTTTGAAATATATTATTTGTTAACTTAGCAAATACAAAATATCAGAATAGAACTGGCTGAGATAAATGCAGTCAAAATTGTTGAGCAAGGTTATACAGTGCAACAATGAACAGTCTTCACTGACAGGCAATTTAGTAGCAGTTCGTATGAAAAGCAGTTATTTGTATCAGTATAATACAGTAATTGAAAACTCAAAATGAATTTAAAGCAAGTCAAAGTCTTTATTGCCCCCTAAAAGTTCAAAGTAGGCATCATTGGGATATGGTGACCTAAATAGACTGTTCATTGTTGCACTGTATAACCTTGAAAGAATTGAAAATGTTATTTATCTCAATATATCCTTTATTGAATTCTTGCAAGCTTCATATGAATTAAAGAAACATGTACATGTATCTTCACAATATTATTTAAGTTTATGATAATTTTAAACTCCATACATGTATAATGTAACATTGAGCTGGAATTATGCATTTTGTAAGTAAAATTATAAATCAAATAAAGTGGGAAAAAACAAGTACAGTATCAATGTGATGTCACATAAAATGACACTTAACAAATAATTACTTACTTTGTTGTGCTATTTAAATCAAGAAATGATGATCATATTTTTTAAATGAGGTGGAAAAATTGAATGTTTTAATGTCAGTGTGTGTTGGGCATTAGACTCACCCGCTCTGCTATCAGGGG